TTTTTTTTTTAGAGAAGTAGGCTAGCAGGACATTTGGAGAAGTTAGCTGGGTGGTTTCCTTGCAGTTAGCACAGGTAGAAGATATTTCAAATGCCTTAGTGCAAGTTCGGGAATCATGTAATCCTGCACACTTGACGCAGACTGCTTTCTTGTTGCAGTTTGCTGAAGTGTGTCCGTGAGCTTGACATCTAAAACATTGTATGGTAGATCTGTTCGACTCAAATTTTTCCCAGTAAGTTTTGATATTATCGACCTGATATGGTTAATTTGTGCTATTATGGTACCCGGTGCAAAGGTTATGCGGTAAATCAGATATTTTGTATGGGGTTTGATCCGTGATTTTTGATACTATTGAGGATTCTTATTTCAGAAAGTTTTATGAGACCTTTTAGTACTACAGTAGTAGTTTTCTCTAATCTGACAGTGTACGTGTGGCATTCAATGTTTTCCTTCTGGCAAATAGTTTTAAATTCGGCGAAATCGTTAAGGTTAGCAAACATGATCTGGAGTTTGTTAGAGGTGAATTTGATTTGAAAGGCATTGTTGTATTTTTCTCTAAGAGCGTCCAGGAGCTTGGCGTGATTTATATGTGCATAAACGGGAAGTAATTTAGTGTTCTGTTGCTTTGTAACTGTTGCGTTTTTGTTTGATATTGAAGTGTTACCCTTGAGGGATTCGTTATTTCGATTTGACTTTTCTTGTTCAATTGCGTGCCATTCAGCAAATAAACTGAACCTATTATTAGTTTGTATAGCAGGGTTTATAATATCCATACCTTCTGTTTTATTAATTTTTGTCTGGCGGTGAATCAGATAGCGATGTTGACCGTCTTCGGATAGCTAAGATTCGTATTTTTTCTTCCTTGAGTTTTCTTTTTTGTGGTATATTCTATTTGATGGGTTTGTCTGCTGCGGAGCAAGTCTACCTTCTAGTAGTTAGTTCTTCCGAGCTCAGGTTGCCTTGGGCTGGAAGATCTTCGCTTGGTATAGGTGAGGCTTCCAGTTGTGAAGATTAGAGGTCCCGTGATCGAACGCGATAATATCTTCAAACTTTGGTATCCGCTAAACGTTATCTGTCGCGTGATCGTATAAAATAATAATGCTGCTACGAACTCTATCGCTAATGCTGTATGCTATCACTCGTAACTGTGCTCAATGCGAATCTAAGATCGCATCGCAATCGAGACTTTCTTTTTCTCCTTGTCTTGATATTTATTTTGTGTAAAGAACGGGATTAGGTGTGTGATGTTTGTGCGTTTCTATTGTGTCCTATTGATAATGACGTTGTGCATGCAGGAAAAATTTCAAAAAACCTGCCTATCCTTATGACGTTTGAGAAAAGTGTGAGTTCATAGAGGTGCTGCCACGTGCTTAGGGAGCCTTACTTTTATCTTAAGTGGTAGTTCTTGTTGTAGTTTCCTATGTTGCTAATTAATGGATTGTGAGTGTGGTGAATTTTGTATGTATTCGTTTATTGTTTTTAGTCATCTTGTGTAATACTGTTATGGGTGTGTCGTGTGGCTTGTTCAGTATAATTTTGAGAAATTTGTTCTGTATTTCTTGCGTTTTGTTGATGTATGTTTTGGCTGCTGCGGCCCATAATCTGGTGTCCGTACTTGATAATCGGTCGTACATGTTTCTTGAGTCTGCTGTTTCTGGTTCTGAGTGAGTAAATTTTTTTTAGTGCATGATAGCTCTCTTGCCTCAATTGCTGGGACCCAGGTCATCTTACTGTCCAATGTGACTCCTAAGTATTTAACGTTTACTGTGACATATTCCGAGAGTTTTGTCATTTTGCGTGTGAATGTGATTGCCTGTGTCTTTAGTGGATTGATCCTGAGTTTCCATTTTTGCACGTACTCTAGTATTTGTGTTCTTGTATGTACCTGGTTGCTTGCGACGGGCTCCAGGAAGATGTGTATATGGCCATGTCATCGGCGTAGATTGCTAGGTATGTCTTGCTTGTTTTGGGAATGTCGTTGGTGTGTATGTTGTAAAGTACTGGTCCTAGTATCCTTGTGGGACTCCAGCTTTCGTCTCTTTTACTTAGAGTTAGTGCCGTTTATTGAAACGTACATCATTCTGTCCGTGAAGTAATTCTTTATTATCTTAACTATTTCCATCGGGGTTCCTGTTTTGTACAGTTTGTAGGTTAGTGTGTCGTGCCAGACCGAGTCGAAGGCCTTCTCAATGTGTAGTAATGTGAGCTATGTGTATCTGTTTTTATTGAGTTCTATGGTTGCGCATTCGGTGACTCAAAGTAGCTGTTGAACGCATGGGTCTTTCTTTAAAGCCGTATTGTTGTAGGATGATGATATTGTTTTCATTTAAATGCCTGAAGAGGTGTATGTGTATTATTTTCTCAAATGATCTTGTTGAGTATGCTTAGTAGGCTGATGGTCGGTAGTTTTGGGTTTGCCTAATTTGGGGATGGGGTGGACTTTGGCTGTTTTCCACGCTCTAAGGAAATAGGATTGTTGCCTGATGATATAATAGATTTATTGTCTTCCTGAGGAGATTTTTAAGTTTTTCAGTAGTAATTCTGTCAAGACCAGGTGCTTTACTATTCGGTAGTTTCTTGATTAATTTGTGTATTAGCTGCGGAGAGATGATTGTTTGGGTTATTCTCTGCATTTCCGTTTCCTGCAACTCCGCTGAATCTTCTATCATGCTGCTTATGTGTTCGTCTAGCGTAGACAATGTGTTGTATGCTTTGTTGTGGGTCTCCGCGAAAATGGAGGCGATAGCCTCAACTTTTTCGGAGTCGGTGTAGTATTAATTATTTGTGTGTGTGTGTGTCTATTAGTACGGATATTAGATTTTGGTATCAGTGCTTCCGACTGTTTTGTAAGTCTGCCATAGTATGTGATCTGCTTTGTTGATCCCTTTAAGTTTATTCTGCCACTTTTGTTTCTTATTTCTGTGATTCTTTTTTGAATAGAAATCTGTGCGGTAAGTATGTTACGGTAAAGTCTATGTGAAGGATTACTTGTTTTCTGCTCCTTATCAGGTATCACATTTTGCAAATGTGAGTCTGTTATGGGTACTCTAGTTTTAATGTTGGAGTTATGAGTGGTCTTTCGGTACGCGTGTGTTATGTTTTGTTGCAGTCGTTCCACCTGTGTGTCAATGTTCATGGTATTCTTGATTTCCGGGTCGATATGGAATATGTTTGAGATTTTTCTGTACAGTCAGTATGACCTGTTGATTGATTCCTTTTTATGTTACAGTTAGTTGTTATGGTTAATATCACTGGAAGAGAGTTCGTCTATTGTTTTCTCACTGTGTGTATGTATGGTGTGTTTGATAGGAAAATGTCTATATTGGATGGGTTGCATTTTGATTGTTTATATGTAAAGGTAGCACTGTGTATTATCTGGTAGTTTTCGTTATCTGGTAGTGTTCTTCTTCTGATATTATTCCATAGGTGCTTAGCATTGAAGTCACCTCCTACTAAATAATATTTAGTGTTGCTTCTATTGGTTAGTTCGTCTGTTATTATTTTATTGCTTCGTCGGGCGTATGTGGATGTGGTTTTGGTTATGATAGTGACGGTTTCGATGGAATTAGTTGTTGCTTGGTATGTTCTACGGGAATTCTATTGTGTATGGATATTAGAACTCCTTCTTTAGGGGTCGTTCCGTGTTTGTGTATTCTGTCTTTTCTGAATATTTGATATTCAGGGATGCGTAACATATTTCCTAGGGTATTTCCCAGGTTTCTGTTATTAATGCAATATCTATGAGGTGGTCTTCTACGAATTTTTGGAGCTCTTGTTTCTTATTTTGGATTCTAGTAGCATTCCATAGCAGTATATTAGTTTGATGTTTAAAGGCCAGCTTCCAGCTCTTTTACAATCTGTATGGTTGCTTTGACTGAGTCTAAATTGTTCGTGCATTTCATATAATGCTTTTATATCAGCTCGATTATCCTTAAGAATAAATCGAGATCTGATGATTTAATTTCAGCTAGAGTCTCTTTTATTGTGCTCTCATTGTTCTCTGGTGCTTGTTTTGCAGTTATGTTAGCATAAGTTGCCTGCGATGTGATTGTTGTATAATATGGAGGTTTGCTTGTGGGAAAGGCTTGTGGGTGGGAGGTATTGTTATTGGGTTGTATCTGGTTTTTATGTGCATCTCTTTTGGCGAGGAATGCTAGAAGTGCCGGACATTTGGAATAATTGGGTGGCTGCCTTTGCAATTTTTTAGATGGTACCTCGAGGGTTTTAGTGCACTTTCTTGAACTCGTGGAGTCCCGCGCATTTCTTTCTTATTACAATTTCTGGATGAATGTCCGTGTACCTGACAACGGTAACATTGTATGGTCGGTTTTTTGGATTCGAACTTTTACCAGTACACCTTCAGGTTTTCAATAAACGTTACCTGGTTGACTTTCGCTAGGGTCATTTCTGGTGCGAAGGGGTAGTTAGTGTGGGTAGGTATTTCGGTGCAATTTAAAGGGGTTAGTCTCTGACTCTTTATGTTTATAATTGTTTTTTTGCGTAGCTTTATTAGTCCCTTTAGGACTACCGATAGAATTTTCTTGGTGCTGATTGTGTATGTGTGTTAAATTCGTTGAAATCGGTTATATTTTGAAATATAACAATTAATTTTTCTGAAGTGTATTTGGTGTGGAATCTATTGTTGTATTTTTGTTCTAGGGCTTCGAGTAGCTTCTGGTAATTTTTTATCTTACCGTGTATATATATCGGAGGTGGTTTAATTTTGCTTTGGTCAGCGGAAATGTCTGAGTTGTGTTTGTATCTCTATATCTTTGTTATTTATTTCGTCTGTATGTTCTGTATCGTTCAGCAGACATTCCGCAAAAATGTCAAATCTATTTTGTGTTGTGACGTTAGGTGTGTAAGCTTCCATACCTGTTGTGATATACGTTGCCGGCCTTGAATTGGTTAGGGAGGAAGACTTCCTTTTCGTCGTTATGATTTTAGTTTCTCTTTCTGTGACTCTTCTTTTTAAGTTCTTCGAAGGCTTCATAAGATTGTTATCATTACGGTTCAGAACTTCTTGGAATACAGAACGTTGATAAAATTGGGAAGAGGTGCCTGACAATGAGCAATAAAACGGTTTTTTATTGTATGAAGACGTTTCCTAAGTAACGGAATACTTTACCTTTGTACCGTGTAACAATAGCTGTTTTTTTACTCTAGACGTCTGTTGAGACATTATGCTATTGTACATCGCATCATACAACACCAAATGTACACGTTCATTATAATTGTCAGCAAATTATAAAAAGAAGAAATTCGAGCTGTTGGTTAGATTTAAGTACGATGTCCTTTCAGAAGGGACAGTCGAGTGCAAAGGGTTAAAGCATAAAATTTCCATCAGAAACATTGAAGACAAAAAAATAGAGAAACTTTATAATAATTAAAGAATAGCGTACAAGCTCCTATTCATATATTTTATGAAAAATTATTTCATAAGCTTAATTATTATTAATTAATATTTCACAAATTTTTAAAAATACGTCTGCAAAATGTTTAACAAAAATTGTAAATTGATCGTTTTGACCATTTTCGTAGTTCTAATGTTAAGATGTAGGATATTGATATCGAATATTCGAGTAATTAATATTCAATTTACCATTATCTCGACGAGGAATATTGAATATCTTTGGAGTGATATTGAATATTTAGCAGATATTTAACTCGTTAACAGTCAACATTTATTTATTTAATAGCAGAATAAATAATCTTTAATTCGTAATCAAAATATTCTGCATATAAATCATTATAATATTTAAATGACAATAATTAACTTTATTTTTTTAACGCTCGTATCTTTTAAGCTGAAATTCATTACACTGTCTAGCTAGTTAATAAATGTACAGAAGATTCCTGTGTAATGTATAATTAAACATATTACGATTGCATGACGAGATGTAGTAAAAGAGTATTCAAACGAATTTTTCAACCAGGAAACGCAAGTAAATCATCACCGTTGCGTGACTTGTCTCTAGACAGCTTATTTAGTCCATATGTGTTTCTTTTTTTTCAACAGTCGTGAAGTTACGCGAATTAACAATTACATCCATTACCGTGTCCACTCGAATGAAAACTGTAGCTCGCGGTATAAATCAAGCCAAAATTAACCTTCCTCGATTTGTACACGCTTCGAGAAACTGAATAATTTTTGCACGAGTTACCAATAAACCGTGAACGTGCCTCGATATCTTCGTACTAACGAGAAATGCTTCGGGAATTTATTTATTCTTATTTATCAACATCGTACCGAGGCTTGCATGAACATTTGTAATTTCGTAATTAATCCTTCGATCATGTGAATATTTATCAGGCTGATGTTATCTGTTTTATGGTAATACGTGTATGTATATTCTAGGTTGTTCTTCACGCGCCACTGCCTCGAACCTCGTTTTCGTTCGACTTGCGTTTCCCGCTTTCTGAGAATCATCTCAATCCGTCTGAATCATTTCGTTTAATCTTCGTGCTCGAGCCTTGTTTCAGTGGTTATAGCTATTTACAGCTCGCTATCTGGTTAATTGAAGATCAATCTGACAGATTTCAAATTAATTTTGCAGCCTGCAGGAGAAGGAATTAACAACTGATGCATCTGTGCGTTTCTTAATGAATTTTGAAATGATGAAAATACGTTAAACTGAATTATCTGCTCTATCATGGCTCTCGAACGAAAATTTATTTCTCTTCTTTTTTAATCCTTCTTTAATTTATCAACCGAGCATTCATTTTCAAGTCAAAAATTTCTGTGATTCTGAAGGTAAAAATTAGCAGTAAAGAGAAGTTAGATATCGTAAGTCTAAATAAATAAATAAATAAATCGTATATTTTTAGCAAAAACGAAATCATTTGCGAAGGAAGAAAAGTAGGAAGTTTAAATAAAGAAATTACAGAAGAAAGGAATTATCAGTAGCTCTGGCTAATTTTTTCTTTTTCTTCTTAATTCTTTTTCAGTTTATTAACCAATCATCGTCTTCAAACTACAAATTTCAATGATTTAATTAAATTAAATATATATTAGTAACGCTAGAGCTTAGATTCAATCGTATCCTTCAACTTTCAGTCTTTGAAAATATGAATATCGTAATTCGTAATTTACTTTGAACAAAAGTAAAATCACGTGCAAAAGAAAATAAGAAATCTGAATAAAAAAGTTATTACATCCAAAAGAAATTGGCAATTGGATCAGCTTATTCTTCTTGGTTTTAATTTACCGCCATTTTACTGGATCACTTTCACACCTGTAGATTTTAGTTCACCATCTTATGGATCTTTTTCACGATCTTCCTTCCCGTTTTTTAACTTTCTTCTAACTCTGCGCCATTTCTCTGTATGCACTCGACACTTTTATTCGTGTTATTGAGTTCTCTTACGTTGTATCTCTCGTACATTAAGGTAGTTCTTATTTTTTACTGTCGGAATATTTTTTCAGATTTAGTTTATCTCTTTTCATCTGCATGTCATATTTTTTTTAAATTGAAATCTCTTGAGAGGGTTGCGATCAACATAACATAACGAAAATTTGAATGTCAATTTCGAAACAAAGTTCAGTATCGAGAAATTCAAACTATTCAGTTGGGAAATATTAATATTAATATTAATTAGATATTTCGAATAATTTATTGTTCGAAAACAATAAATTTTACTTTACATTCTACTTCATGTAGAAGAAAATTGATGATTTCCTTCTAACAGAAATTTAGTTGGTAATGAAATTAGACCAAGTTAAAAGTTCCAAAATTAAATAACGCAAAGCTTAAATTTGTTAAGTTTGCCAATGCCCAACGATATCAGTTAAGGGTTAAAGCTCTTAAAAGGCTTAAAACTATTGATAGGCTTCAAAGTCGATTTAAGTCTTTCTCCGCGTTCACAGCGAGTCAGAGAAGTTTGTTTTGCAATACAACATTGCGCAAATTTCAAAATTCATTCCAATAAATAAGAAACGTATCGATCGTTCAAAGTCGATAATTCAAAGCACAAATATTTCTTTGATTCACTGTGATGTAATCGAGGCAATTCAAAGTATTTCAGAGTAAATTATTTTATCTCTATTCAAGCTTAAATATTAAATCATTTTATCTCTATTATAGTAATTTTAGATATCATTACAGACTGCCTCTTGGGAGAGCCTATCAACCTCTGATAAACGAATAACCGATTAATTCAATAATATCAATAATATCATTTATAATATCATTTATTTATGGGTTGTAAATAAAATAAGAAAAACACGATTTTTCATTATTTACATTGAATGCCTGGATACCGATAATCTAAAATGTTCTAAGATAATATACTAGATTAACTCTCGACAATTCCTTATGATAACTTGACATTACATTTTTCTTATAAAATCTTATATTATTTTGTAACATAGAATTACAGGTATATTACAAAGCTGAATCTTTATGGTATCTAACATTTTTGACAATTTTTGAAACAGATTTGTAAATAATATTCATTTTATCACAAAGTACTTGACAAACAATTATCACAAATTGTTTTGTTACACCACAATTGTATATACTAATTACAATTTTAGCTCTTAATTAGTTATAGCTATAAAAGTCCAAAAGAAATGATGATGACGTTAAACAAAGCAAGACAACTTTAAGATAACTTTATAGAGCTAGTTTTTGATACTAGATCATGCTGACAGCATGCAACAGTTTTTCTAATAGAGAAACGGCAGACTGTTTCTGTAACAACAGGTAAATCGATTAAAACGAGACCGAGTAAGAGGGAATATTTATTATATTTTGCAAATTTAAATTAAATTTAAAAAAAAAAAAAACAAGAGAGAAAAAATACCGACATTAAAATATAAAAACCACTCTCGTGTGTACATATACCTTTATCCCCATCGATCACGTACTGCTTCTACCGAACCTCTCTGTTTGTCTGGCTGTATTTTTTTTAAATGCAAATTATCCAATTTGGTGCTTGTTGAGACACATGGTAAAATATACGATGTCGTAAGGAAAACTTACACACACAGGGTGAAAGGGCGATACAAAAGAATTATTCGTTGGTGTTTCGTTTCGAATTTAATTTAACGTTCTCTCTGTTTCGATCGTAGAACGTTTCAGAGTCCGTGGTCGTGGGCTTGCGTCGCCGGAAGATGCGAGAGGAGAGCGGTCAGATCGTCGAGGACTTCTTTGGCCAGCTGTATTGCTCTCTGTGGAGGGAACACCAGGCTCCTCTGGCCAAGGCCGACCGGAAACGTGTTCCTCGGCGAAGACAGCGTGATCATACATCTGCAGCAAATCGAATTCATCACGGTGAACACCAGCGATCAGGAAACGAAGAACCTGCTGGAGCACGCCAAGGACGTTTTCATCGGTGAAGATTTGTTCAATTTTTCGTTTCGAAGCGAATCCTCTTTTTAATCCTTCAGTAACGGAGGCTTAAAAGAAGGATGCTGATTAAATTAATTTCGATTTTACGATTTCATTTTCATAGGTTCATTGTATAAATTAATTAATTTTACTAATAATGATGTTAATATTGTTATTGATTGTCACAGCGATGATAATATCAATGTGGTTTAATAATCATGGTGAGAGCAAATGGTCACGTATTGATTTCATTTGCCTATAATTATGAAATTTAGTGAAAATTCGATTAACTTCCAGTGAAAATCGTCTCTAAAAGATTAAACAGACCATTGGATCTGTGATTTTATACAATATTTGTATAATTAATATTTTGATTTATCTGCGTAATTTTCCATTGTCTCATTATGTTTTAAATTTATTTTTAGTTGCTAATTTTTTATATGAATGAAGCATAAACTGCAACTATATTGAATGAAAAATATAATTACCTAGAGTAAATTATTCTTCTACCTCTTGTCATAATCACAAGTATATCTCAAGTGGTTCATTTTCATTTTTTTCATTATTAAAAATCCAAAAATAACTTAACACATACTTATAAAATGTGTATTGTGATTATGTGACTTTAGTAATGAAACACTTCATTTACAGTATAATACAATATCATCCAGAGAATTAAATAACGATTTACGAATACTAACTTCAACAAACATGCAATTTAAGTGTTCGTTCATTTTATTCGCAATAGAATAGAACCCCATTTATTTGAACTAAATTTTAATCCAGTATCCAATCAAATGAACTCTTGGTAGTTGTGAATCCACTTATTTGAGCTTAAACGAAAGCTCATTTGTTGGAGAAAGGAATCAGCGGAGAATCTGATTGTATGAACACTGAATCATGGAAATCATTTTCTTTCCCAACAAATTGTAAACGAAGTTTTACTGCAATGTAATTACGAAAATACACAAAAATCCGCAATCTACTGGGTAACTTCTTTTGCAGGTAACGTGAGGAGCCTAGTAAAGATAGCAAACGCGAAGAGCAGATCCGGCGTGGAGGTATTCCTGATCTACCTATCCGCCGGGAATGGGAGACCGACGGGGCCAAGTTTAGAAACAGACGAGTCGTACACCCTCGAGCTGATGCCCAAAGGAAGAGTTCTCGAGGCGCGAATCACCGGGAGAAGTTACTTCGGTGCCAGACACGGTTTGGAAACGCTCGGTCAAATGATCTGGTGGGACGAGACCGCCGGGAGGGAAGGTGCCTTGCGAGTATTATCTCGCGTCTCTGTCGAGGACAAGCCAACGTTCGCCTACAGGGGTTTGCTGGTCGATACGGGGAGACAATTCTTCCCGGTTGAACGGTTGAAACGCGTGATCGACGGAATGGCCGCGTCCAAGTTGAACACTTTCCACTGGCATTTATCCGACTCGCAGAGCTTCCCATTCGACTCGGCCCAGTTCCCGGAAATGGCCAGATGGGGCGCCTACAGCGGCGATCAGATCTACACGCCCGACGATGTGAAGGACCTCGCGGATTACGCGAGGATCCGCGGCATCAGGATACTCGTCGAGATCGACTCGCCGGCACACGCTGGCGCTGGCTGGCAATGGGGTGAGTTGTCAGTAGTTTTTACACTGGTGACGTGGGACACATGTGATCACACGAAGATTATGTCTGGTCTTTGGCATATCGGAATTCTGGTTTTGAATGCTGGTGATTGGACAAGAGGAAAGATTTAGATACAATAATACCGCTGAAAAGTGTCTGAAAATTAGAGATGCAAAATAATACTTGTTTTAAATATTTTTCGGTACAATATCATTGAGCGAAGATGAATTTTTTATTTAAATGAAAGCCGGTTGTCGATGAATTTCAATTTTTAGATTGCGAAAAGCCATTATGAATGACCTTTTTTTCTGGCTATCATTGGCCATTATCGACGACAGAAATTTAATTTTCGTTACCAGTAAACAATATAAATATTGGTTATCATCGATGATAACCTTGAGTTTTATTTTGATAATAATCAACATAATTCAATAATCAACTATTCTTGACGGTGAAAAATATTTTTGGTTATAGTTGGCTATTATTGGCAATAAATAGCATTTTCAGCTCATATTTTATTATTTTGCCATATAAATGTTTATCAATTTGTACAAAGTACTATTTAAATATTCGAAGAAGAACTTCTATTTTTGTATATATAATAAGAAACTATACATGTAGAATCGTTATCGTGTGTGAAGTGTTAATTAACACATTCATTGCCATCCATTCACCAACAATATCTGGTATCCTATAAATTACATTTTAGAATAATTTGTGACATGAATATCGTCAACAAAGAATTTTAAACAGCAAATCACTAGGTAATATTATAAATTGATCTTCATTGTCATTTTTATATAATAACTACTAACGTAATTTATTAGATATTAACATTTTACTTTTTACATTACAATATGTTGTAGTACACTATGATATAATATTTTATAGTGGTATTATAAAATATTAGTATATTAATATGCTATACTATAAAATACCGAAATATTTTACAAAAAAATAAACATTCCACTCCACAAACAAAGAACATGATAACCAATCATCCTGTTAAACTATACAATCGACAATTTGTATCACTATCTTCTTTTCAAAACAACTTCTCGCGAAACAACTTCGCCAATCCTCGTAATCCGAAATGACGAAACTCTCATCTGTGCATCTGACTTGTTCGCATCGTCATACTCGTCTCACGCCGCGGCGTTGATCTTGTTAATTTGCTCAGGGACGGAGTACGGTTACGGGGAGCTGGCACTCTGCGTTGATCAGCAGCCATGGTCGTCGTATTGCGGCGAGCCGAATTGCGGCCAGTTGAATCCCATCAACGAGCACACCTATCGAATATTGGAGGGGCTGTACAGGGAGCTGCTGGACCTGACCGAAATTCGCGACATCGTACACCTTGGCGGGGACGAGGTGAACCTGGATTGCTGGGCACAGTATGGGAACATCACGGCCGCGATGCAAGCGCAGAACATGACCGATCACCATGCAATGTGGGCCGAATTCGAGACGAAGATGCTGCAGAGGTTGGTCAAGGCCAACCACGACGAAACGCCGAAGGCTGTGATTCTGTGGAGCTCGCCGTTGACGAAGAGGCCTTACATCACCATGTACTTCGACCCGAAGATCCACGTGATCCAATCGTGGGGTGGTAGCAACTGGCCGGAGACACCGGATCTTCTTGAGGACGGTTTCAGAGTGATTCTTTCTCACGTGGACACGTGGTACCTGGACTGCGGGTTTGGCAAATGGAGGGAAATTGGGGAAGCCGCTTGCGGCGAGTATCGTACCTGGCAGACTGTCTACAATCATCGACCTTGGAGAGATTATCCTCAGCAACATTTGAGCCTGGTTTTGGGCGGAGAAGCGGCTATCTGGAGCGAGCAGACTGGCGATGCTTCCTTGGGACCTCGACTATGGCCCAGGGCATCTGCCCTTGCTGAAAGATTATGGTTAGTATCAAAAATATTCAGATGTTGCCAGATCTGAATATTGCTATCACTACTAGACAGACTATTACTGTTTTATTTATATATAATGTTAACGAAGTGACTGTATTGTGTATCAAAGCTAGAGATCGCGATTTTCACTTTGAACGCGTGTGTTCACGCATATAACATAAAAGTGTATTAAGAAATGACTCGTGTTTTTAATACACATGTATTATTTACACGTCGTTACATATCATATATGATTTTTTAGTATAGTCTTGTAATTCCTGTATTTTTTGTACTTTTGTACTTTTCAACAGTGTGCAATTGTCAAAACATTTTCAACATAATTAAGATACGGATTCTTTCCTATATAAAATATCATTTAATATTTCCAATGTTTAAACAAATATAACAGTCGTTCTACGACTTTGAACGGGAGTATATATTTAATCTGAGATTTAAAATAATTATTTTACTTACACGTTGAAAGTTCAAAGAGGATGAAATTTCGGTTCGCGTTAGATTATTCGATTATCCTTTGTTATCTCTATGTATATCCCAGATTGCCCTGAACAATTTCACCACCTGCCATCCCAAACATCACGTCCTTCGACCTAATAACAAACGAAAATTAAATTTATGCACAGGAGCGATATGCCAACTAACGGCTACTCGACGGACGAGAGCGTGTACACGAGGCTGGCCACACACCTGGAGCTTCTAACGAACCGTGGATTGAAAACAGAAGCCATGTGGCCGCAATGGTGTTCCCAGAATCCCGGCAAATGCCTCTGACCGTTCGCTAGCCCGAATACAATCGCCTTCGGCTGGAATTACACGCGTGGACATGATGATTACGCGAGAGGAAGACGTTACGCAAAGTGGATCTATTTGCCATTTTCGCTGGGGCACACCGAGCTTACGAATTATCGTAGCATCCCTGTTGAAGCAAGTTCGTCGATCGTTTTAACCGCGACGAGACCGAGTTCCTCGAGATTACCAGCGGTTGTTTGATAACGATTCTCGCAAGTTCACGCGTGAAAACGAGCAAGAAGAAGGATGATCGATCCTTTCACGAAGATATTGTACGTGAATGTGAGAAAGACCCGAGGCGGAGTACTCGAAAGAAAAAGATCGTTAAAAGTGGAGGAAAAGAAAGAAATTCCTCCAAGAAGTCAAAGAGTCGGATCAATTTTTGCTAGAAGCAAAGGAAGAAAGAGAATCTGTTTGGAATGTTTATTTATTTACAAAGAAGAAATGGAAGGAACCTTTTAAGCGTTTCATTGGATCTTTTTTTCTTTTCTTTTTTCGTTATCTTTGCCAAGAGGTTGAAGGCACAACGACGTAAGATGTTCTTGGGTTTCATTTTTCTCCCTGTGGTACAAGAAGAGTGTTTAATAATTGCAAGCAGAGAAGATGTAGGTACGACAGGTTGCAGAAAGGGATGAAATGAACCAGGTCAATTCAAGGATAGAGAGTCGCGACTTTTTTAAAACGGTTTGCGCGATGCCTTGTCGCAGCTCGATGCCATACTTTTCGTTCGAAGTGCCTTTCCAAATGTAATTCTACTCGTTGTTGCGCGATTTTACGTGTAAACATCGTACGCGTTCCTATTTAGAGGTCTCGATTGGCGGGAAATCGAGATCGCTACATCGTCCTTTCATACATTTCGAATATATTTAGGGCAGTGATTCGATACGTCCTACATCCGATTCGTCTAATCACATTCTTCGTTCTAATCACACCACCTCTGAGTGCCTTTCTAACGCTTCGAAATTTGTCCGTGCAGATTTTTAGCATTTAATTGTTGGCGAAAGCAGAATTTATTTATTGCTGGAATGTTAAATTCTTATTCATGATTATGATCTTTAATAAAATTATGTATGTATCTACTTCTCCTCTGTAAAAACTATATTGAGGAAATTATTGAGTAACGAGTGGACGTGCACTCTATCACAATAACTAGATCACATATCTCATCCCGATCTCGAGTTAAATATGTATATAATTTCTAAATAATTTCATGCTGTTCCGATCTCTCTCGTGGAAATTTTATTTAACTAGAGGATCATTTGATCCTTATTATTATTATCATTGTCTTAATCATTATTACAAACGTGCGTGCCACTTATTTAATTTTCATCTTTCGGATTATTATATATGTA